TAGATAACATTGTTCACTGTCACAACAAACTGCTCTGCCACACTTCTTTTTTCTCTGCCAACCTTTGCACACACATCATATGAACACTTCCTGTTTTGCACAGCAGGTTGAAAGTACCATTTTGCAAAACAAGCGTTTCTTTTTTGTTTGTTTCTTCCTTTCTGCACCTGATCTGAACCAAATCACAAGACGATGGGTTGTGCAAGGCAGAAAGCAGAGTGCTTTCAGTGGTAACCTCTGAATACCTGCAGGAAGTGCTGTTGCTCATGCTGGCCTCCAGGCCTGTGCTGGTTTCCGCCAACAGATCAGATAACGGGAAGTTCTCTGCAGACCAAAAACCCAAAGCAATCATCAACAGTCATGTCGTATTTAACACCTTCAGATATTTTTGCTGAACCCTGAACAGTTTTTTTTTTTTTTTTTTTTTTTTTTGTCTTTTGGGGGCTTTTTTTTTTTTTTTATTANCGATAATTAAAATGAGGTCTAAGGTTTAATTTATCGTGTGATTAATTGATTTATCGTTTATCGCGACAGGCCTATGCAGAACAAGCTCATCTATTGAGAATGAGGAATATTTCAACTAAAGACTAAATGCCTATGAAATAAGAATGAAGGACAAAAAGATAATAAGATTGAAGCAAACAAAAATTTACTTTTACTTTTGCTTGTATTATAAAGCCTTTTTACATTTGGCTTGTTTGCACCAATGTGTCCCAGGTTCATCAGAAAGTGTGTTGAAATGCATGTTGGTCTCCAACTTAGCTTAACTTTAATCTACACAAAGATTAAATGTGTAATTTGTGTCTCTTTCACATGTTTTCAGACCGACGTTCTTCTCTACTCCTGCAGAGTTTGTGCAGGTTCCACCAACTCAAATTTAAGACTTTTTAAGACCATTATGAATGAAATTTAAGACATCACGACAAAAACGGAGAGAAAAAAAGTCATATATATTGCTATGTTCTCTTCAGCTTTAACCTCCGTATTGCCATACTTGCTAACTAGTAATGGTACATTAGCACCTAGCGGTAGCCTTAACACTCTTGAGTCACAGAACACAATGTCGACACCTGTGTGCAACTCAAACCTTCGTCTGACAGAAAAATCCAGAGAGAAAAAAAACATGACAGAATATGTGATTAAATATTTTTGTCACGACAAAATTTAAGACCTGTGATTAATGTGTTTAAACTTTTTTAATTAATATAAAACAGTTTTAATGCACTAATTTTAGATAAATTTAAGATTTTAAAAATGTGCAGATATCCTGTTCAAATATGACAGATTAATTTTTTAACCTTTTTTTGTTTTGATTTTATGCCCAAAGTTCAAAGCAGCAGAATTGATTCTAAACTCACACATTAAACATGATGAAAAAAACTAATGTAATTTAAAAGATACATGTTCTAACATGTTCTTTAAAATAATAAAGTAAAG